TAGTTCATAAAAAAGTCATTTTTAAAGCAGCTGCAAATATATCACGCAAAGCACAGAGAATATTAATATTTCCTCTCTGTAATGTTCTTCCTGTGTTCACAGATATTTCCTTTGGCACCTCCTGTTTCCTCCCACTTTGCAAATATGTGCAAGTCTGGTGAGACTGGAGACTCAAATTTGCTCATTAGTGTGAATGTCAGTGTGAGGGTGTGTGTCTGTACTCACTCTTAGCAGATTGACCTGTCCAGGTTGTTTCCATGCCTTCAGCCCAGTGCATGCTGGGATTGGCTCGTAGTATTCCTGATTAAGATAGTTATGGAAAATGTATGAATGAATGAAAAAATTGCTACACTCTCTATGGTGTCTTATATTCCACCCGGCCAGAGGCATTAGTCCTTTATGATCCTTACAAGACTAGAAGAGGAAATGTGTCAGAGCCACTATGTTTGCCACCTTGGCAGTGTGTATGTGTGTGTGTGTGTGTGTGTGTGTGTGGGTGTGGGTGTGGGTGTGTGTGTGTGTGTGGGTAATTGTGTGTGTACCCACTTGGCAGTTGAGAGTCATTAAAAAAGGGCGTGAGGGAGCCATCCAGCGGTTTCTTGTCATTAATGAAAAACAGCACTGGCAACCGCAGGAAATCACAAATACACACTATAAACACAAGATGAAGCACAAATCCAAATATACCCATTGGCTGTTTTGTCTTTGGCTCTTTGCTCCCTGCTACAAACACTTTTTTCTAATCTTCTTTCCGGTCATATTAAGAGTAATGACCCTATAAACACCCATAAAGACACGCACACACAGACACACTTGTCATTGTATAAAAACAACATCCATATGTGAAGTGGGAAAAAAAATGATTTCTATCTGGTGGTTTATGTAAAGTTTGAAATAAACATGAATGGATTGCATAGTTTTCTCGAACTCTACTCTGTGATAAAACCTCGCATGATGGAGATCTAAAAGTCAAATATGGTCATTGCGGGTGGGCTGTGAATAGGTGAAAGACGAGGAAGTTGTGTGACAAGCCGTTCAATCACCCCCTTTACTTCCTGTGCCAACAACCCTCATCACTTCCAGGCGAGTGTCTTTAAAGAGGATGTTTTGTGCTCGGAGCTGCTCTGCACTTTCTCAACCACAGCTCTATCACTTCAAACACAACATCCCGCAACTGTTTGTTGACAGGCTGCACAGCATTGATTGTATAGCAAACAGTGTGTAGGCCTGAGCACAGAACGTACAGCACATGAGGAACCCTTGGCCATCAGCTCAGGAGACAGTTGGATCCCTTTCTCTGCTCAAGGCTGTCACCTAGTGGCACCGATTTCAAGTTGTCGCTGTATCATTAGTTGTAAAATAACCAGACGCCCTTTAATCACAAGATTTACCCCACGCTTTTCTCATAGCCCCCTCCCGGTTCCTCGTCTCACTCCTCTGCTTTCTCCCGAGCATGGCTTGAGTTTCACACAGCTGTGTGAGCTGTGGACCCCTGTGGTGATTTGTAGCACTATAATGGCTCATCCACTGCTGTGCTGCTCCTCCCAGACACTGAGATAACAGCTCTCACCTTACCTCGATCGACAGCTGAAGGGGCTGCAGAGGGCTTCCAGGGGTGGAGGAGGGCGCCAGGGGTGACCTGAGGGGCGGGGAAGGCAAGAAGAGAAGGGGCGGAGGACTTGCAGGTGTCCAAACTCCAGTGGCTACAGACAGGTGCACTGCACCTGTGCCACATATGTTCAGTCACTCACGTGTGTGTGTGTGTGTGTGTGTGCACGTCTGGACACTCCTGAATTCCAGCTGTGCACACTTTCTCTCTAGCCTTCACACTCTTTCCTACCTATGATAACCCTTATAACACACACGCACACACACACACACACACACACACACACACACACACACACACACAGGAAAACAGGCACACCCATTCTGTGCATATAAATCGTGGATTTGTAAAATCAATGTCCCTACAGGGCTGAACTTGTGGTTGTGCTCCTTTAAATGAACTCTGCACTGCTTCTTTTCTGCTTCACACTCACTCCAGACAAATTGCAGTAAAGATCAAGATTTGCATTATATCTATATAATCAAAATTGATTAAAGCTTAAATATACTCTGCATGGCCTGTTGCCACCACAACCCAACCCCAGGTACACAATAAAACCTTTACAGTCCCCCATCAAACACACTCACATACACTATGTGATATTCACTAGCCAACACATGCTTGAAACATCCATCCATCACAATCCCAGTTAAAGAAAGACTGATGAGGACATCATGACTATAACTCCTCTCCTCTGACTGCAGGTTGAGTCAGGTGTCCGATGTGTTTCCCTCTCCATATATAGACTGATAATTTGAGAAATACACTTATTAGTTGCATAAGGTTATTTGAGAAGACTGATGTTTGGTGGTAAAGATGACACTCATGAGAAAGAATCTGGTCAACTCAGTGAACTATCAGAACTCACCTGTAGCTTCAAAATTAGCATAAAAACAGAAGAATGGAATCGATCTTTATGTCTAACCATCAAAAAAGTGCAAAAAACAATAATTTGTATGTATTTGACTGTTTTCCACAGCAACATTTCTGATGGTTATTTTTACAGTTTCAGTCTTTGTGATTTGGTTGATTCTGTAACAGCTACTAGTGCTCTGGCCACAACTAACTACTGCTATAAAGTATATATATTTAAGGTTATTTTAATTTCGACTTGCATTACAAGAACTTTTTCATTATATAGAAAAAAAAACTTTCTCTTCAATTTCATTGTTGCATGTGGTGTTATAAGGTGCTATAAGGTTCTATTGTTTTTACTGATGATATTGAAAATCAATATATAAATTAAATATAAAAGTTTGTGAAATTACTTAATTGTACTATTTTAACAGCATATTAAAACAGATATCTTTACCATTCTGCAATGACACTGATAACCAAGATAATTTTGGTCACTATAATCATAATACCAAATTTTCATTCTCACACTAATTTATGGGAAACCATTTATTTTGGTTTAGGCATTTTTACTGAGTTTAGTTTAAGGTTTAAGTTTGCTACACATGTGGGTTGTACATTTTGTGATCACAAAGCCTTTTGTGTTCCAGCTGATTCAGCAGTCTGAAGGTTTCTTTCAGATTTTGGGCAGAGGGGAGTTTAATCAAGAGCCATTGTTCCAGATGAGCAGCCCACTCCTCCTACCTAGGGAGGAGAAAAAAAGAAAAGAAAAGAGAGGAGTAAAGGGTAGAGGTGAGATGGGTGAGGAGGCGAAGGAGGGCTGGGAGGGGGGAGATGGACAAAGTGGAAGAGAAGGAATTGAACTAAAGTAAAATATATGTATGAAATATGAAGAGGAGAAAAGTAAAGACTTGGTAATTAATTTGGTAATTATGTCGCAAACCAGTGGCTGGAAAATGAGGATTAGTTACAGGTTTGATCTCAAACCTATTTTATTGTCACTGAATTACATCAGGAAACGAAACCAGATCTTAAAAGTAGGCTACACACACACACACAAACAGAAAGACAGAGTTTCCTCAACGTCTGGACAGCATTACACAGTGTCGAGAGGAAACCCCCTCCTCCCTAATTATAGTCTGCATCATTGGAGACTGAGGGCTCTTGAGAAAGAGTTTTATCACTGTATTGTGGCAGAGCAGACAAACACACACACATATACTCACACAGCACTTCTCAAACCAACAATAGACAGTGGCAGCATTAAAACTACCAACATAGAGGGGCCCTCTTCTGTGGCAAAAATGGCACTTATTTACACGTGATGAGAAAAGAAATGAGAGAGAGGACAGAAGCAACGAACACAGAAAGACGAGGTCTCTCACTGCGGCATCATTTGATTACGCCCGATGATGATGGACAAGTGAAGGGCACTGTGGGAACTTTAAACAAAAGGCACCGCAAACGATGGTGAGCTGAGTATCATGTGATGGGGCCTGGAACTCTCTGCCTGAACAGGGAAGTGTGGTGGAAAAGGCAGAGGCCCAACTGATAAACAGAGTGAAGGGGTAATGTACATAAAGGCCCGCTGCATCGCTCTCAGGAGATGAATAATGAGCCGGGCTGCATGTAAACTGTGGTTGGAAAACAACAAAAGCTGCTGACTAACTGTAGTGGTGTGTGGTGAGGTGAGGACGCTCTGTCATTTGGGCTTTTGCCTGCACAGGGGGGCCTCTTCCACCTAAACATGCTCCCTGTGTCTGAATAGAGCAGGACTGTGGCTCTTAGTGTAGTTTTAGATGCTGTATGTGTTAGTAGCACCCTTTCTTAATATTAAAAAATCCTTTAAAATTACAGAGTCAAAATAAAGTCAAGTCCATGTCAAGCTGGTACAATAAAGCCTGTAAATACTATAAGAGGTCAATTGAAGACAGTGATAAGTGTTATAGTGTAGTAAATACCTTTCTTAATTGAAATAGGTCTATTTACACCAGAGATACTGATACTGTCACCAACTTGACATTTAAATTGAAACCTTATAGAGATGTGAAGCACTAATCAGCCTGTGGTATTTTTTGATAATCTATGTGGCTCTGGAAGAGCTTTGCAAAACCTGAGTAGACCTCTGATGATGTCATCATGATAATCACAACAGAAAAGATTGGTAGGATTTTGAATTTGAAAGATGTGGTGTTGGCATATAGGGCAGAGATGCTTAGTTGCATGAGCCGTTTTCAGACATGAATCTTTCCTTTCGCGTGGGAAAAATGCAGAATGAGATTGCTCAGGTCAGACGCGTTCAGAACAACTGGAAAATCTCTGATCTAAAAGTTTAGGATTTAATGTTTTGGAAGCTTAATTTCATCTCAGGATATCACAGCCTTTTGTTTTAATTTTGACCTTCCACTGGAATATAAATTTCACATATTAGACTGTATAGTACGACCATGTAATAGTTGTCTGCATTTTTCATTCCACATGCCAAGTACATTTGTAGTAGTTGTGACCCCTTTTACAATAGAAAGAATCATTTGGAAACATTTTATCCATTTATTTGCAAAATAATAAGTACAGGCGTAAGAGTAATCACAATTAAAATAGTAAGAAAGATTAAAAAAGCATAATTATAACAAATAAGTTCTCTCTTGAATACACTACCAACCTGACTCGTTTCAGTAAAGACACTGAAAAGCTGTTTTGTCAGATTTCCTGAGGCACCAATTTATTCTCCATTAATATCAGATTTGTTCTCCTCCTTGCAACACCTCTTGTTGACTCCGCTAAAATACTTCTCTCTGAAGGCATTGTGTCCCTGGTAGGGGCTGAAGCGTGGATCCGCCAGGTGAGCCAGGCTGTCGAACTCCTGCAAAGAGACAAACATAGAGATCATCGCACTGCACTTCACTTAACCCTGCTCCTGAAAAGTGTTGCCCGTTTTCCCAAATTAAGGAACTTTCATAAGACATTGCATCATTTTATGTATTGTAATATGTGCTGGAGCAAAAACCAAACTTGTATCCAGCTTCCTGGGACATTTTCCTGTTCAGATTCTGAAATATTGGAAATGAAAATCAAACTGGACACATGTAGCACTTGTGGTTTGGCTTTTTTTTAAAGCAAATTGTACTTGCTGGATTCTTGTTGTTCTGGGTTTGTACCCTCATGGTTGAATGCACTTATTGTAAGTCGCTTTGGATAAAAGCGTCAGTAAAAAAGTGTAATGTAAAAATAGTCTGCCGTTCACACACATTCGTACAGTGCCAACACTGTTGGGGAAGACAGGGATTGAACCTCCAAACCTCTGGACAACTCGCTATACCTCAAGAGCCACATGGATGGAGAATGGATGCTGCAGTTATGCCTTGTTCTTCAAAAGGAGGACATGTGCAGATGTGATAACACCATATCAATATATATATGTCATCCTGAAGCTCCTCTTCTCATTCCCAGTCACTGAAGCTCCTCCCACCACATGTCTGTATAATATCCAATGGTTTGCATACCTTTTCCATGTTTGTATGTCGGAGCAGGGCCGTGCTCGTGTGTCTGAACAATGTATATGAACTGTTATGAAGCCCTACAACTAAACAGTTCGTCTTGGCTGTAAGGTAGCTGCTGGTCAACGGAGGGATGAAGGGAGAAAAAAAAGAGATGCTGGGAAGAGGAATAATGAGGTGAGTAGAGTTGGAAGGGATGACTCCGATGCTGGGGCCTGTAAGTTTTCAGCTAACACCTCTCGTTTGCTTGCTGATACTGCCAAGCAAACTAAAAACTGTTTCCATGACCACTTGGAGAAAAAACTCAAGAGCGGTAACAAGACTAACAAACCTAACCATGACCCCAAATGAATACGAATAGAGGGGCATGACTACAACCAGCTGACAAACAGTGGAAATAACCACTCTGTCTTTGCCAACAATTATACAGGTGGAGGGATACATATAGTTAGTGTTAAATTAGGCAAATACGTTATTACGCATTGTGTCATGACCCATAAATTAAAAAGATGTGAGGGTTTTCTGCACTAGTTTAACATAACCAGTAATTAGTCTGGCCCTGCTTTACTGTCAAAATATTAAAAGAGTGTGAGTCCACACGTGTAATAGACATGCAAACACATTCACGTGTTCGCCCCGATGAACGGCTGCAGATGGGTGCAGACTGAGACATATTTGGAAAGGAAAAAACCTGAGAGAGATACCAGTCAGATAAGATCAAACAAGTGTGTGTCTGTGTGTCATACAAGCCTCTTTATGGGAGCAATTTGGGGTTTTGAAGTGGAACGGATGACAGATCCAAAGATGGATTGTTTTCCATACGATGTGTGATTAAGCCATTTAGGGTTTCAGTATAAAAGAAATGAGCCAATGGCAGCCAGATGGTGAGGATTAACCCCAGACAGACAGAGAGACACCATCACTTCCACTGGGACGACATGCAGAAAAATATACACAGGCATATCCTGCATATATGTAAATGACACCTACTTACGTGGTAACATATACATTGTACTAACAATTGTATGCAATACACATTAAAAACATGGCACAGGCGGACACACCAGTGCTCTCTGTTAACATAGAAGTCATATCTGTGATGCAGTTCATGCAGACACATACAAACACATCAAACAAATTCTGCAGCACACATCATCTATGCTACGCGACCACGTTGCATAACTTAAAACAATATATTTATACTCAGTTATTCAACATCAGAGGAAAAATGTATGTTTAAATCCTGCAAAATAACTTGTTGCACTTGTGACCCTGAGCACACATGGGCGTGTTGGTCTTAAAATGAGGTGGAATAGACTTATATGAGCAGTCTGTTTTAAACAAAGTTAACAAGAACATTGCTTCTAAGCTAACAACAAAAAGCTGGGTAGTTGGCATTTTGAAGCTCTTACTCTGGGTTAATGTGAATTGAATCAGTCCCTTATTGAAGATAAAAAAAACTCTGAAAACATTCACCATAGTGCTAGTGGCCTAATGGCTGACTAAGAAACACTAGAGGGAAAAAAAACCTATATACCGGTACACAGTCCCATTAAATAGCTGACTTATCGTCATAATTTAACAAAATTGCAATGATAAAACTATACAATATGTCCTAGCACTGTAGATATGTTGTCTTTCTCTTATACCGCTCTCTTTCTTTCTTTCTCTCTTTCTTTCTCCCTCTAGCTAATGTCGTCACACTAGCTTCCCTTTTCTGCTCTCTCTATGCTTTATGTCTTCCACACAGGAATCCCATGTGCTCATCCTCGCACATCCATGTGCACACACCACACAAACATACTAAAATAAAAATAATCTCAGCCAAACATTATGAGCCCTCTACCTTTTTTATTACCTTTGCTCTTAGTTTGTTTTTCTTCACTCTGCTTTTACTGCTGTTTTTGTTGTTGATTATTTTAAGTATAGTTTCCTCTCTTGTTTTGTGCTATGTCATGAGCCTTTGTGTTTGCTCTATAAATAATGAAGAAAATAAAAGTATTAATTACAGTTGCACAATGAATTATGTGTTGTTTCAGGAAAGGTTTTAATTATCACGACTGGAAAAAGTTGTAGAGAGACGTGAGATAATGTTGGGGGTCAATTATTTTCTGTAGTAATTTGCTTTAAGACCAAGAACAGCAAAGTACCCACTGGCCCCCTTTTAGTAAATCCACGACTAATTATCACTGTCTGACAAAGCATGAAATGATACAAACATGAGAAACATCAAAAAGATGGATTATAGGTTAGTTTAGTTGTTCTCTATCTAAAATCAAATATTTTTATCCACACAGATCTAATTCATGGCCTCCCTGGAATCTAACCGAGTGATATCCATCATAGCAACAACAAATCCCTGGGACCTGGAAAATGTTTGGCATGAATCATCCGATCAATTTTCTGTTACCCTGTTGCCATTTAAATGATAAATTACTTCAGCTCCAATGCTAACACATTCAGAAGCATAAGCACACACCTCTGGCTCCTTGATCTTCTCCATGGTGATGAGGCGTCGTGATGTGTGGCTGGAGAGCATCTGCTCACAGTTACTGATGAGCTGGAGACATGGATTAAGAGGAACCGTCTCCTCACAGTATCTGGAAAGGACAAACACACAGTTATTCATCAATCTCCAAAAGGACAAAGAAAAACAGGCATAGAACACTTTCCTTCTTTTGGGCATGATGAACTGACTGAACACACTGAGAGAAATACATGAGGAACTTGTAAGGCCGCGGTGACAGTTCACATTTTGACTGGAGGCAGTAAAAGACTAATCCTGTCAAAATCAATACCCAACTTTAGTTTGTCTCCCTTCTACGCCAACACCTCTCACTAAATCACTGCACATGTGACCGCTGTAGTGAGACCACAGCTGACGCAGCTTTCTGTGCACAGATGATGCTGGAAAAAGTGACTCTGCCCCGACAGGTCGACTGCCGTCTCTGTCATCAGAGGTTAGGAACTATTAACAGCACACGAGGTATGTGTTCGCATATTTGTGTCAGTGGCACTTTCTCCTGCCCCATCCCTGGTAGCGACAGTCTCAACTCAAAGCCAGATTTGCATGTTACTGTTTGTCTGCCCTATTACCAGGGCCACAGGCAGGGCCTCTGAGGCTACAGGATGTTTGGTCGTCGCGGTGATGCGACGAGGCGATAACTCTCTCTTGCCAATCAGGAGTTGTTAGCAATCAGCCCGACATGTTGAGATGATGTTAATGTAGAAGTGGAGGTGAACGTTGTCTTCCATCTTCACAATTTATTCTTTATTACAGCTGATTTCATAGAGGGCAGCTTCACAAAGGCAAGACAGTCAAATAATGATCAAAATAGGGCACAAGAGTATATGATTTCAAATGTATTTACACAATAACAATTTGAAATGCATCAGAAATGACTATGAATTTGTTTATTCATCACATAATAATATTAGTCGGCCTCTTCAGAATCCACTTCAGGTTTTTCTTCCTGCTCCTGCAGCAGGAGGCGGGGTCTAATGTTACCTGCCCACTCTGATTTGATCACTAGATCAGTTCCCCTCTTGTTATTGATTACTTTTAAAATCATAAAAAACTATGTGAACATACATTACAACACAATGCATTGTAAAAATGTAAGCGAAGATATTTGCTGATATATGTATTGGGAGTAAAAGTGAAAAGTACCCACAAATGAATCTACGGAAAGTAGAAAGAGGTACGTTAACACAGTAAATGTACTTTGTTACATCCCACCACTGGAAGCAGTGGATGATGGCCTTTAGTATCAAGCTACACCTCTTGTCAAATAACTAAATGAATGATTGGTTAAAATGTCTGAAAAAATATACTGAGGTAAAAAAATTTGAGCTGAAAATGAAAGATTTGTACTCAATGACACAAGTATCACCTTACTTTTGACAATTTTACTTTACGTCTTCACTTCACTTGTTTATGTTGTAATTAGGTCACTTTATGGCTGTGATGACGGATGCTCCATCGTCTGTCTTTGTACGTTTTCGTTCTGTCGTTTATTATTTAAAGGGGAGACTGGGAAGAGTGTTTAAGGGGTCTAACCTGATGTAGGTGCCGTCCTATGCTGACAGGACTATGAGGCAGACAGACACACACAATCCCCACTGCTTGTATCACAGCCATAGCCGTGGATACACACATATGTGGGGGCGATAGAAACCCGATATCTCCCCTGTAGAGCCCCAGATTAGGCCCAGGAGACAGGCTACGTCTGAGTTTACACACACACACACAGACATACATATTGAAAAACACACATTGTGATTGTGCACAGAAACACACACGCTCATAGGTCAGCGTGCAGACCACAAGGACAGATAGTTCACATATCTGACTTGGCTGGCCTCAGACGTTTATTTTGGCTCAGTGCTCTGACAGGCACAGAGTCCAGCCCTGGTAGATGAGTAGCAAAGACAAATGTGTGAACATGACGACACACATGTATGCATGTGCTCATATACCAGACCACACACATTCATGCATATACAGAAACACACACTATGTCACGTTCTCCCTTAAAGTAGCAGTTTCATATTTAGTTTGATGATACATTGACTTGGAATAGGGAAAATGGTGCAGCTTTCATTAGGCCTGGTGTCACTCTAAGTAACTGTTGAATGTCCACCTTTTAGTTGTGTTTCAGCTCAGTCCATAGAGATTTGGCTTGGGAACCGGAGGGTGGCCGGTTCAAGTCCACCATGGACCAAAAGTATGGAAGGTGGACTGGTAGCTGGAGAGGTGTCCTTGAGCAAGGCACCGTACCCCCCAATTGCTCGCTGGGCGCTTCTCCGGGGCTGCCCATCACTCTACCATCTCTTTCCAAATTTGCATGTCTTTGAGCCCCTTGTGTGTGTGTGTGGGATTGTGGGTTAAAATGCATGTATAAAAAAGGAAAATGAGTGTAAAAAGAATTTCCCCTTGAAGGATCAATAAAGTTCAGTTATTAAACACGCAGTTCACTACGCAGTCAAGAGATTAACAGGCTTTGTTTTTTGTATTTTTTTTCATTGGACACAGAACCCAACAGAATAAATCACTACATTTCCCTGCAAAGGGATGTGAACAAAAATCAAAGATATGCAAGCTGTTTGTACTTTTTCACAAACACAAATGGAAAAAAGGAGAAAGATGCATGATCGTCTTATTTCCTGCCCGGTCTTATAATCAGAGCCCTGAAGGAGTCTCAGCCCTGCAGGGTTTTTCTTCAGTTACTGCCACCGTCTGTTGTGGTTTTAAACCTTAACTGTCAAACACCTGCACTTCCAGTCAGCACTTCACTTTCTGCTTAAAGCGCAGAACATTCAACAATGTACAACTCTGTTTGAGAGGAGCCGTCTTACATGTGGCCCACTCACTCACTGTCAGTTGTGGTTTCCTGGGGCCAAGCTGTATGGGCGGGAAAACCTCAACACACCTGAACACTGTCATTCACACAGGTGGTTACATAGTGAGGTCAATGTTTTATAGGAGCAGGAATGGAATAGTGCTGAAGGGAAATGCTAGAAGGTGAAAAAAAAAACCTTGGGAAAGTGGAGTGAAATGTTCTTGTTGTGTCAGTCTACTGGACTCAAAGCAGAAGAGCTTTGCATATGAATCAGGATTTGAAAAGAATTTAGCAGCTTGTCTGTAATTATTACAGTTTCTATTTACGTTAACATTTCCCCTAATTAATTTACAGCCAAGTTTAATTATATGTAACTTTCAGATTTTATAAAAACTTACCTTGTTTATAATATGATCCTTCTTTTCTTCATCTTGTTTGGTTATTCAATGAATTCATTATGTCAATAGTTTTGAAAATTTGGAGGTTGTGCATTTTAAGTCTGTATGGTGCAGTTGTGCTTTATGGTATAAGTCTGCCCCCTATTGATAGAAATTAATATTTGGAGAATAGCATCATTTCAAAAAACAGGGCTCACCATTGTTTACAGTTTATCCTGTTTAACAAATTGAATGAACATTAAATAAATATTTTTGCACTGAGGCATGTTTTAAACAACAGGGTAATTAAACATTAGTCACATATGAAGTGTTAAAATTACTGCAACTGACACCAACATGCTTAACTGAGCCTGAATGTTACTTTCAGAGGCTTCGTTTAAACATAAACTACCACAAACCATGAAGGTGGGAACAAGTTCAACATAAGTTTGTAGACTCACTCTGGCCTGTAGACAGGCAGCCAATAGACGAGCCTCCCACCAATGACCAGGTGACGGGCTGAGAAGTTTAACAGGTCTGTGAAGATGTCACTGAGATGGTACGCCTGTGAGACGGGGACGTGGGACTCTAAATATCTAGGCAGAAGATTAAAAATAAAATGTGAACAGGATTAGAACAGAACAAAGATTACCAAACATATGACCGTTAAAACAATTTGCTCAAGTTTTCCATTCATCTAATTGGACAAAGTTGCAGAGATTGTTTAAGGATCTAATGGAGTTAGAGTTGGAGTTGCTCTTGACTACATGTCAGGCTTATGCTTTTCAGAATTAAAGCTAACTAATCTCAGATAAAAGACCCAGACACTATGAATGTATTTTATCAGTGTTGATGAAATAGCAGGTGAACATACATGCCGTCAGCAGGTTTGGTGACATCTTTGTGGGAGCCTGTTCGCCTTGTGGACTCACGGATACCATATGGAGCTGAAAACAAAAGAAACACATAGGAATTACAAAAGAGCACATAACTTCACCATGACTAACTGTCACATTAAATTCAATCAAGATGCACCAAATTGTGCACAGTCCTCAAAATGTTCCTGTTTTATTTCATTGGGACCTCTGAGTTATTTCTTGGGAAATTCAAATAAAATATTTATAAACACTCTATTCCAAAATGGTTAGGAAAGTGAAAAAACGAATTCCTGGATCTGCCACCTAAATTTAATCCAGAAGTCTGTGGCCCATACACTAGCCTGCCACCAAGTTTCAATAAAATCTGCTTGACTGTATAGACAGAGTTTACCCCAAGATGAGAGGAACCTAAAGCCTGCAGAGGTGTAGCTGGGGCCCAGGCTGGTTGTAATACAGCAAAAAAAAAAATCCAGTGTGTGTTGAACACTGCAAATGAAATGTGTACAACCAAATCAGATAGTGTCTACAGTGCTGAGCAATGAGGTGTTGGTTTGGCAAAGCTTCAGGATTATGGACATATTTTTTTCTCAGAATACATCTACCAGCTCAAAATGCAAACAACCCCAAAAAACATTAACGGCAAGAATTATACCCCAGTTATGATAAATGAATAAAAGGATTTCATACTCTGAAATTTTGTGTTTGTTAAGAACATAATCAGCACATACGATCAGTAATTATGGCATCGAACAGAGCAGCCTCCCTCCACACAGACTTGGATGCATCAGACACCATCACATCCACATACATCTTCTCTTTTCCATATTGCCGCAGGTTAGCTCTGATATTCTCATCGGGTCCTCGCCATTTCTGGTTTGTACGGCTCGACCGACCTGAACAACAAACGCACATTTAGGATGATATAAATTTAAAAGACCACGTAAGCTCCGAGTAGACAAAACTTACCTCTGCCATGAATGGTGTTGTAATCAATGTCAATTCCACAGACATAGGCTCCAAAATGAGAACATGCTACCAACAGGCTCCCTGAAACAGAGACAAAGAACTGAATCATGATTAACCACACAGGTGGAAGTCTGTGTGTGAGGGGCAGTGGCAGAAATAACTCACCTGTGCCAACAAACGGGTCAAAAACCAGGTCATTCTCTTTGACCTTCGCGTGGTTGGCCATGATGAATGAGAGTCCGGCATCCATACTGGTGTTTCCAATGAAGTGTCTGTTCTTCACACTGTGGGAGCGAATCAGTTCACGTTGACCGTCCGCTATCTGGTACAGGATGAGGAGTGTTCAGCTGCAGATTAGCTTTTCTTAGTCTGATGCAAACAAAACGTCATGAGTCTCACCCATCGGCCAAAGTATATGTAGTATGGATGCTCGGGGATGTTGTTGGGGTCTGTGCCGTAATCCTCCAACAAACAGAAGATGTGCTGGGGGCTCTTCAGACTCACTGTGCCGTCAAATGGAAGATACTCCAAAGCCTGAGATGAAAATACAGAACATGATGTTCTGAACATATACACAAGCTCACAAAGAAAAATACGCTGCACACATTTCTGAACACATCACACAAATCGTAAGACTCACATTAATCCTTTTGATTCTGTCTGGAAACTCCAGAGTCTTGTTGAAAGTGTAGACGTTGATTCTGTAGGTGGAGTCTTTGTGCATGAATGGTAACTGTAGAGGAATGTGGAGGAAGAGCACAGATAGAGATTCAAACATGTCATGATGTGTTTACATGGATTTGTCTGTAGGACACAATACAACAATAAACTGTAGCATCACAAACCATGTTCTCTGATGGGTAGTTCAAGAGGGATGTTCTGAGTTCACTGTGTGTCTGCCCGTGGCCCCATAATTCAAAAGCGGACCTGGAAGGTTAATGCAACTTAAACTACATCAACATTACAAACACTATAATGAAGGAAATACTGCCAAGGTGACAGGAGCACAGATTAAAGGATGCATGACAACATGTGCAACGTGTTAAAGTCAATCCATCACCACAGGTCCAGCGACATCACTTACTTTGCACAAACAGATCTGGCCATGATGCCTCGGACATCATCCTCACACAAACCATCCAGACACCAGAAAGGAGCCTAGAGAGAAGAAGCGAGAAATTCAGCAGCTGATGAGGCCACTGACATGTCCTCCTTCTGCAGCAGAATATTTTGTTAGACAGTCGACACAGCAGTGAAAACAAACTGGACATGCAAACCTTTTCTTTGAAGTTTTCACCAGGATGGAAGGGTTTTCCTCTGAGGGCCAGCAGAGCCTTAATCTCCTGCAAGAGTTTGGAAAAAGGCACAAATACTGACCTATGCATTTAACTCTATTGGAAAATATTACACTTACAGGCATATTGAAGAGAAACAATTGGGATAAATGGCGCTCATAAAGTATAGAGACATGATTTTTAACAAAAATTAAAGTTTGTTGCAGCAGAGACTGAATTATCCTGAGTTTTAATAATACTGGAGCAACAGCAGTCTTTTGTTAGACCCTTTCTGTGTGGTAAATGCCCATGTGGGTCATTCTGTGTCAAACCATCACACTTGTGTTTCGCACCATCACAGATATTAATGGAATTGTTCATGCTGATTTGGTGACATGAGAAATCTAATGAACTGGGACTGCATGTGTCTTGGATCCCATTTAAGGGAGATATTGGCTGACGAAGTTTGAACTGGACATATCTCCTTTAATACAAGTCAGAGAAAGGGTTTTAAATCTCTTTGTCAGCTTCATGGTTATCTAAACAGTAGGCTATACCCAATATAAAAGAATAACAGCATCATAAGAGTAATTATAACAGTAAAAGTTAAAGTTCAACATGTTTACCAAAGTTAGATTTGAATATCATAAAGACCTCCAGAATGTTTGGTCTTTGGTTTTTGATAGTTGAGATATCGTAATTAATCTGAAGTGACATCACATCACTAATTCTTAATAATGTTGTTCAACAGCACTTAGTGATCGGTGCATACTCAGACACACTGTAGCTAAATGTTTATTCAATTGATTGCAATATTATGGTTGAATGTTGAGAAGCAATGGCCACTAAACTATTCTGATCATGATTCTGCTTCATAACAAGTGTGCATTACAACTGATGAATTCTGCAAAGTGTGTCCACTCGGGCTGGGTAATAAAACAATGTGACAGTATTTGGTATCAGACAACTGGTCCTCGCCATAAAGACAGGACACAGAGACATGGAGCTAAATCAGACAGTGAGTTGTCACACACTGTCAAGCTAATTGTGTTAGCTAGCATGGAGCACAGCACGGGAGGTGGGACTCTACCCCCACTCCTCAAATGATCTCATTTCAACATGAAGGAACGGACAGAGGCTGCGAGTATTTTATGAAGGTTACCGGTAACCTGAAGTCCAGATTATCCTGAGCCAGATGGAGCAGATACCGGAGGCGTGTTCGACTGCTGGAAGCCGCCATCTTTGTTGCGATCTCAAAATACATCCGGCTGGAAACCCGGCTCTGAAACAAAGTACCCAGTGTGGGTCAAATGACCATAAATGGTTGAAGAATGAGGTCCTCTCTTTACTTTATTAAAACACTGAAGCTGGATGGTGCAAAACATATTTTCATTGTTATGTGCTCATTGAACACATTTTCCCAGTATGAACACCAGCTGCTGTTTTTGCAGAATCTTCAGCATCATTAGTTTGTAACTGCATATCACTATTTTACACAAAACTTTAAAGTATTTATTTTAAACTAAATACATGCATGTAAACACCATGTTTGTTTGTCATGCACAGATTTGTATAATACAGTAGCGTGAGTAGATAATGTCCTCTGTCCTCTCTAATCTGCTTTTCTTCAGAGACACCCTGTTATCTCCTCTCATCGCTGATTGGCTGGCCGTAGCTCCTCTAGTAGCCATTGGCCGAGACAGATGTCCATCACAGAGGGTTCGTCAGGCGCCTCTTGCTCAGTCCTGCTGCTGTCAGCACTGCTGCAGTGATGTCAGGTGAGATTCACATGTAACCACAGGACTGATTTGTTTTTTACTTTGCTGCCATGACAGAGTGCTGCAGGTGAAGTGAGGATCCAGACATGTAAGTTCAACCATGTCTGATCAGTGTTTGCTCCAAGTGTCTAAAAGGTTGTAAAGGTTGGATTGAGCCAGGCTACTTTACAAAGCTAGATGTTTACTCATTGTGGACCTCATGGTTTATTTAAACTGATTTTGTAATGTATTTGACTTTTTTACTCAGTTGTAAAAAAAATGTGTGACAGGGAAACAACAATCAGGTGAGAAGTACAAAACCTATAATCCCAAAGATTACAGTTATTTATTTCTCATAAAACTTACTGGACCCACTTCCAGACTAAAATTGAATGGGATATTTTTAGGCTTCATCCTCCCACAGAGTTAGGTGGTTATTGGTTTATTCGTTTTTTCATAATCGTGCTAACAAATAAACCCACAAACAAACGGACACATTTAAATTTGATGGATCCAGATTTTTATTTGGATCGGCATCAAATTGTACACACTCAGATTATATCAATCCCCTAAATATACCAGATTTTGTACATTGATGAGTTATATTCAGATTTAGGGGTATTTCAGAGAATAGCATAATCACCTGAAATGGTTAATGAGTTTTAATACCTGCAATTATGTCATTGTGTTCTCATTACCGTATATCTACATCAGGGCGGGTCCTCCTCCAGAGTCTGCCGTGTTGTTGTCTGCAGTAGCCCAGAGCGGATAAACCAGACACTGGCTCTAGAGAGGACCTTTCACTTTTTTTAGGGTTATCACCTAAAGGCCACCATAGCTTCTCCTCTCTGGAATGACAGGGTTTACACAAGAGGCTTTAAGTGGGCTGCATTCTGCACCCTCAACTCTAGATGTCATTACATCCAACGCACTGAACCTTTACCGAAAATAAAAAAGTGATCCTAGATCCGCACTAAAATCCTGAACCAGACCACATCCTCCCACCAGTTATCCAATCGATTTTTTAATCCTGCAAACTAAAAAACAGACAAAGGAAGTTGAAAACACCACCTCCTTGGGGGATGTAGATATTATTCAGTGAGTTCATTGTTTTTCTGTTTGTAAAATGACCAAATACAGTTATATAATCTTCTCCTAACACAGCCAGTGATGGGAACAAACAGTGAGAGCACCCCCACCATGGACACTGAAGATGACGCCCCAGCTCCTGCCCAGTTTGGCGATGACACTGCTGTGTGCATTGTCTCTGTGAAAGGCTTAAAGGAGAACTGGCAGAAGTGGTCTGACGAGCACCAGGAGTACCAGAAGCACAACCCCTTCAGTCACGATGCCAAGCCCAGCACGGTAGTCCCTCAGAGGGGGCAGGATGACTACGGGAGGCCCCTGCAGGGCTCCATGACGGAGCAGCGGGGGAAGGATGCTCACACACGTATCAGCAGAGAAATTGAGGAGCTGTGTGAGGTTATAAGGAACATTGGCAAGCCAAGTGACTTTGACGGGGAAGGAACCAGCTGCGACGGTAAATCGGTGTGTGTAGAATTTGGGAAACTGTTTGAGCATTATGTGACTATCTCAAACAAACTGGTGGGGATTCTTCTGCGAGCGAGGAAGCAGAGGCTGGTTATCTTTGAGGGGGAGATGCTGTGGCAAGGGAAGGATGACCATGTCGTTATCACTCTGTTACAGTGAACTATATTTGTGTTGATGCCCTTATTCATGCTGCATCTCCAGTGGTTGTTACAGAGCTACTTCATGGCAGCACTCATGGCAGTTAACACATATCATGCACTAATTCTACTCCGGTCATGTAATGGCACTTTGATAAAAAAAAAAAAAACTAACTTACACAAAAACTTACACAACTATAGACCTCAGTGGCCGATCATTCACTCCACTCCACGCCTCAAAGAACATTAAATGTACAAATGCATTTTCTCTTAATGCTACAAAGAAAATAATCTACTCTACTCTACTATGCAGATGTATGCAGGGATTGGATACAATTGTGTAAAAACCTTAGTAAATGGACTGACATAAGTCAATGACAGTTAGCAATGCTGCAAAAAATTGTGGTCAAGACAGATATAATGCACATTAACAGCATTTATGAGCAATCAAAGAGGTCAGGCCACCTCAGCATGTTGACAATTGAGTCTTCCAATAAATGAATAGTGCTCTAAACCATGTGTTCCTAAACTGTGTGTGAGTCAACAAACAAGAAAATCTAAAAGAAGGATAAAAAATCTATTAATCGATTATATATATATACTGCTTATCCTTTTGAGGGGAGCTGTAGCCAATCCCAACTGACATTGAGCAAAAGGCAGGGTACAAACTGGGCAGGTCACCAGCATATTGCAGGGCTGATAAACAGACAAACAACCGTTCAACGATTTAAGTCTCAAATTAACCCATTCTTTGACTATAGGAGGAAGCATGAAAAAAATAAGCAAACTGCCAAACCGGGATTCAAACCGAGAACATTGTTGCTGTGAGTGAGCGCTAACCACTGCACCAGGAACAAAATCAAAAGGGTGTTAAAAATGTTATTTTTTTTGGAGGATTTGGTTTGAAGTTTAGACTTAACAAAAAAATATTAGAGACATACTGGATGTAAAAAGTAGCTTCTGCCACATATTTCCCACCCCTGTAGCAGTGTTTGCTATAACTACCTAGTTACTTCAAGTACAACATTTTGTATTTATTTACATTATTACCTCTACCAGATTCATTGTGATGCATATGTTGTTGGGAAACCGTACTGCTTTTTAATGTGGGGAATGCGTTGCAGCGAGCAGCTGAGATGAAGTCAGAGTGGTTAATGAGAGTGGACCAAAGAGAACATGAGGCTCCCTGTGACAGACAATATGGTGCTATAGGATGAACCTGATCCGACTTGGCATGGGTGCTTCAGAGTGTGTATTTATTACCAGTGTGCTTGTACTTTAGGAAACCTTGTTGTAGTTTGAAACTCAGAATACATGAACCACAAACACACAGTGTGAGACGGTATGATAAGCTACTGAGGCTGCTATATTGCTGCTGCCACTGCTATTGGAAGAGCACACGCTGCAATACACATTCATTTACTTTTTTAACATGAGCAGCAGCTTATTGACAAATTGGCAAGCACTTATCATTGTCTTATAATAAAGTAATTAAAGCCACAGTGTCCTGTTTGTTTTCTATTACTGGAGGTGATTCATAAATACAAACTGCTGCAGTTAAACTAATGAATGGGAACGGGGTTGTTAAAGTCATATCATTATAAGGGCTTTATACTTTCTACAATAGAAACACACTGAAGTTAATCCTGAGAAGAAGCAATAAATTATTTATTCTAAATCAACATTTCTGAAAGTGCATACACATTTATACAGTAGGATTTCTTCACATTCCAGTAATACATTAATACTGTAGAGTATAATACAGCTGCATTAGTAGTTACAACATGCACAATCTAGCTAGTTCATATTTAACCTTTATAGAGTTATAGGACATTTCTTCAATTCAATCGATGAGTAAATCATTTCATTTAGAGCCTTGTCAATTGTGAATGAAGATGTCACATACTGCGTCAGAGTGAACAGCTGTCTGATCTCTCAATATATGATTTATATGAATTGATCTTTAAAAATACATTCCAGTTTATACACCTATAAAGTCAAATCTGTGAGGCACTTGGGCAGTGCTGCACGACAAGAAACCGGTTTATGAATCATCACTTCTCTAGCTGTGAAATAATAATGATCTCAGTAAATCTATTGTTCAATTCATCTCTCCAGTCCTCTCAGTAGAAAAAGACTGCCTTCAACAACAAGATCTGAATCACACTGTAACTTGGTCCATACAGTGAATCATTTTTTATCTTTGGGTGGATTAAAGTTAATATAATTCACTTCTTCTTCTGTAAAATTAGAAAAACATGTGTTGAAGTCTCAAGCAGCAAGACACAATATTTGGCTTTGTTAAAGCTTTCACTTTGGCTTTAAGTGTGAAGTGTATTCACAAAACTAAAAACCTAAGTAGTCACTTATTACAAACATCATGGAAATACAAATATCTTTTGCTGTGTTCAAAGAGGCAGCAACCTAATGTGGGTGTGTGACAGCCAACATGACAACTGCAAGAGGGTGGATGTTGCAGTCGCTGCATCCCAGCCGAGTACAGCAAGGTCAGTCTTTAGAGTTGAGAAGTTCAATCAGCTGCTCTGCCTGCAAAACATCAACAAATAGGGCAGAACAGAAATTATACTAACTTAATCTAAGTCCAAAAACCCCTCCACATTATTATGCACTCGTCTTGTGCAGACTAAAATTACTCTTCAAAATAAGAGACAGAAATGTGCAGGCACAGTAAAGACTGGCTGGTGATTAATCAGATAAGAAAAATATAAGATCACAGGTCTTTTAAAACATGGTGCCTGCAAGCGATTGACATTTAATTAGAAGATAACAACACATTATTGGTGCCTCAGTTTTCAGATGCTTTCATGTCAGCCTGATGGGGTAAAAACATTGATTGGGAAGCAAATTGTTTATCTTTGCTAACAACTCAGTTATTTGCAATAAATATAGCCCCGTACAAATGCAAAAAATAGGGCTTACCGTGATAAACCAATAGGAATTGAGCCTATAGAATATGCGGGACATGAAGCCCATTTGGCTGGCAGGTGCCAGGACATGAAGGTGTAAATGTGCAACAGAACAGAATGGGGGCCAATGGAAACCGAACCTGCAGACACAGGAGAGGGCGTTACTGTTGACAACGATGTTTATTGAGTTGAAGTAGCTCAGCTGTTACAACAACAAAGCAACAGGGATGTTACCAAAGCTAGGTAATCAGTCAGAAACAATCACACAGCATTTTCCAAGATTATTATCACAGTTCCCATTAGATTAAGCACTATTGCTCACTTGGTAAATACAGTTCAAAGGTGAAAATAAGTCAAAGTACATACTGTAATGATGAGTACTGATAATTATAACCTTTATCTTTGCCTGACTATCAGTGCCAATCACTATTTGTAAACAGAAACTTAAGTAACGCTGTACCTGTTGATTTGATCAAGATACAAAAGCTCCACCACTGAAAATGTTTGGGGATGTTCCTTTTGTAGTCGACTGGAGCATGAGCCACAGACTGAAGGTGTGAAAAGATACAAACAACGAAATGTAGCCTACCTGACATCACTGAGGTCGGTAATATTGTTTTTCTGTAAGATCTCCTTCCCTTTCTCAACCATCTGCTTCACTGGGTGGAACAACCAAAACAAAACACTTTTTAAACTACTTTCCATTAAAATCTGGACCTTTTTATAACAAACACTGCTGCCATCCATTCCATTTTATTCAGTTGTTGAATAAAAGATAGTGACAACTATAAGCTTGTTCATAGCATATATAGCATTGCTTGTAACACAAGGTACAAGCAATGCATAACCAGTGAAATATTGTTAAGTTGACATGAATTGAAAACAGAGACATGCAGTAATCAACAACCTTTTCAAAGTGCAAATATTTCCACAGGCATGTTGTTCAAACCTTACCCAAAGGCACATGTTCTTTGCTGAGTGATTTACAGTTCCCTACGTGTCTGTTTGGGACGACCAGGTAGTGGTGAGGAGCTGCAGGTTTGATGTCTCTGAAACAGGAAATCTCTTCATCCTGTGGCAGAGATAAATGAATAAACAACAAGTCAGCAAGTACAAGTTTATTATTGTGCTTCAAGACTGGAAGGGTTCAAGTGCACAGGCTGGTGTGTTTACTTCATGCTAACTATGTGTTTGCACTGCGGTGGTCCGTCGTTTGAGAATGCCCACAATATTTATGCATGTCTATTTTTGGTCTTACGATAGAGGTCATTGGAGCAGAACAAAGCCAGATGACAAACAACATTTTGATTTCAACACTAGACTTAGTATAATGAAATTGTGTTTTTTATGAAA